CACAAATTTCATTCAGATGTAATTTTTACCAAATCAGACAAAACGAACACACCTTATGAGAACCTTATTGAACTTAACTAGGTTATTGATGAATTAATACAATTAACTGCAATATTCTATACGTCAATATCATCTGGATCATTTGATTCAATTAGGAACAGCTCTTCCATTGCATTTTTATCAATATTTTGGTTAGTTTCACAAGTTTGATTTCATGGCATTTACTACAAAAAAATAACAGATGCATTTTGGCTCAGTTACAGATGAGCAATTATCAATCTGCCAAATCTACCCCCTGCTACCTGAATGGAAGTACCTCATGTGCTAGATGGACAGGAATATGAAATGAATCCGCATTTGCAAAGATGTTTAGTGATCATTATCTCACGGGATATACGAGGTGTCCCATAATTAGCCTGGCAAACCCCACCAGCGGCATCTGTACGGCCACATATTAGAGGAGAAAAGTGTCTCCTAAGAAAGCTACACGGCCCCCTTGAGAGGGCTTCTGAAGATGATATTCCGTGAATATTTCAGAAACTCCAGTGATAAAATAATACAGTTTGGTACAAGAACTAGACTTATTATACCCAATGCAGTTACAATAAAACCATTCCAAAATTTCATTTAGGAGTGTATATTACAGGGTTGGACTACATTAATAATTTCTAAAACTTTTTTGTATGCATATTCTGCGTCAATTCAATCTCGCAGCATGAAAATCTACAACTCTTCAAAGAAAGAAAGAGGTTCTGTCGATCAGATGTATCATTTCCAAGTGAAGTCGATTTAAAAATATTGTTACATCCCACATATTATGTATAACGTTGCCAATTTCCAAATCATAGTGGCTATAAAAAAATCAACTATTTTCATTATTCCAGATTCTTTGAGATTATTCTTATTATTATCCTCATTTCTATAAAATAAGAATATGAATATTATTTCAATAAACTTGTAGTAAGGACAAATCACATGATTTGCCCCAGAATGTCACTGCGTTTAAAGAGTTTTTCAATCAGAGAGCCAAATAATAATTCCAGAGGCGCGTAAAATAGAAAGACAATAATATAAAACTACTCCAATTTTTGTATGTTGTCCTCCATAGCGATGAAATGCAAAATATGTGAAATGTAACGATATTTTCAAATCGATTTTACTCGAAAATGATTCATCTGATCGATACGGAACAAGAGCAACTTTTCTCTGTCAAGAGATGTAGGTTTTCATAATCCGAGATTGGATTGGGGAAATATCATCTTCAGCAGCACCCTTGAAGGAAGCCGTAGCTTCCTTAGGAGCCATTTCTCGACTCATCTTTATGAGAGCTTGTCTTCCTATTTTTGGTCGAAGAAGCTGCTGGTGGATTTTGGCAAGCTAATTATGGGATATCCTGTATATTCGAAGATGACAGTACTCTCTATAATGCTTTCTCTTCCAGAATTCACATTCTATCCCACGAAACTAATAACAAGAACTCACGACGAATGTAGGTCATTGCTGTCAATTGAGATTTCGCGAAAATTACAGCCTGAAGAATCAACAACCTATATGAATTCAACGCCACCAAAACTCAATAAGCCTGTATCTTCCCAAAAAAAAACACAATGCCTGATATAACAATTACTGATCCACCAGATCTATGCTCGGTATTTCCATATTTTCATCAGCAGATCATGTCATATCCATCGCGAAAGCTGCTTCACAAAAACTCGGGTTTTCATTCTGAGGGAAAAGCTACTTATTATTCATATCTCAACAGCTTCTCATGATCTAAAGTGCATAGATACAACTAGTTTCAGAATACTGTTTCTACATATGAAGTTCAGTACCTAAACATAAGCTGATGCTCTTAGATTTCATCCAATGACGAGCCATTCGCCTGGTTGGTGATACCACACTCGCTAGTTTCTTGACATCATTGCAACACCGTAGGGAAGTAGGCACTCTTATATAGATACTTCCTCTAATATCAATTCATCACTAGCAATACCAAGCAGACATACTCGACATGCCCAGTCAGCACATCCTTTGGTCGTCAACCTCGAGAAATGTCGAACAACTCTTTATGAAAACATGTTCATCTTTGGAACGGCAAAACTTCGCAATTTTTTGCCGAAGGAAATATTCCGAATATCTTATAATTCTCAAAAGTTCAAGAAAGAGACCACGATGCTTTTCGAACATAATAGGAATTCCTTTTCATGCGCGCCAGGATATAAAAAAAATGCTGATGTTTCATCGGCCTACGAAGCCCTGGAAATTCCGACTTATATATCACGAAATTTATTATTCCAAGTTTCGAGTTACAACTCGGATTCTCAAAATTCCATGTTTTCACTCGGAATTTCAGAAACAATTGTCGACTTTTATCTCGGAAGTTCAAAGATCCGAGTATATATTAACTAACTCGGGATTTTGTAGAGATTTTTTTTTATTTCAGGTGTCTCTTCCAGCGCAACGGAAACAATTTATTCAACTCGTTCTGAATATTCATTTACTTCGGAGTGGCATGGCAGTGTTGTTCATAGAATAGATTCGTGGAAGCGATAGTGTTCTTTTATACATTTCCGCTCACGAGCGCATAATATCACAATATTCTCTCAACTGTGAAAATATGCTGTCAAATAATTATATCTGAATTTTTGTCCTTCTACAAAATTGTACCCTGATATGCAGTCCAAATTTCGACCCCGGCACTACTATAATGCTATACTCACTGTTGCTAACAATAACGCATTCAGATCGATCGAAACACTGAATAATGTGAAATCTACCAAATGCCGAATCACGTCCGAGGTTCCGCAGGGCTCACACTTGGGCCCCATTCTATTCAGTATATTTGTTAGTGATGTTGAACAATGCTTTCATTTCTCAAATTTTGCTATATACGCCGACGACTTGAAAATTTATAGTAAAATTGAACAGAGATCAGATTACGTGGGTATCCAGGTAGATCTTGAAAGACTGCAAATCTTCTGCAGTACAGATAGATTATTTATCAATGCGAGCAAATGTTATAATGTTCTATTCTCTAGATCTTAAGACCCTATCACTGAAAACCTCTTTATCAATAATCAGATTATATCAACAACTGAAGAAGTTCGAGATCTAGGAGTGATACTAGATAAAAAATTAACTTTTGAATTACATATTAGAGCTGTTCTGAAAAAAGCACTCCGCACTCTGGGATTTATTCTGAGAAATACTAAAGAATTTCAAAATTATTCATCAGTTACCACTTTATATTAATCATTAGTCAGGCCTATCCTTGAATACTGCTCTACCATTTGGAATCCCGTGTATGACAAATATATGAATCAAATTGAACATGTTCAAAAAAAATTGGTCAACAATTTGAACTATAGATTCTTCCGCTTCCGTCACTATATGAACTATGAAAGCAACTTGCGTTTCTATAGAATAGAGAATCTTTTCATTAGAAGAGACTTCGTTGACATATTATTCATTTAAAAGATCTTCAACAATCATATTGATTCAACAGCATGCACTGGATTCCTGAGCTTGAACTGTAATCCTAGAATGGTTAGGAATAGACTCACTTTCTACCCACCTTCGTTCTCAACTAATTATTATAGTAATTCACCTCTAATAAGATGTTTGAACTCGTACAATACAATTTGCCACTCTAATATTGATAATATATTTCACCTTGATATCAAAAGATTCAAGAAACAACTGAGAGAATTCTTTTTAAATTTTTATAGTATTCCTTGAATATGAAAATATAGAAATAGTGCTGGTATTCATTCATTTATGATACTGAAGTCATATCGAAATTGTAATTTTCCAGTGTGTGTCAAAATACTATACCTATGTATATTTCATATATGTTGATATTGTATATATATACCGACGTTACTGTTCTTTTCTTCAGATTGTTATTTTTGAATGAAAGTTATGGAATAGGTAGGTAATTAGTTTTTAAATGATAGTATGTAGGTGCAACCCATTTGAAGACAATAATTTTGTATCACTGTGTTATCCTGTCATTGGAAGGACTATTTATATAGTTCCTCTGTTGGATAACCTTGTTTTCTGAATAAATAAAAAAAATGTCTACTGTCTCATTCTACTCGATGACAGTAAGTATAGTTTTACAAAATCTCTGTGATCGTAGACAATGTGTTACCCTACGAGAATGAATGAAAAATACTGCACATGTAAAATATAGCGTTCCCCAGGATCCTGTCTTATAGAACCTCTCCTGTCGCCTCATTTTTGTTCTCAATCTTTGTTTGTCACATTCACTAATTCAATATCCTCTGGCGAAATATTCAACTTCGTTGATAATATAGATATAATTTATTCGCCTGTCACGAAATCATCGATCTAGAATCACTGTTCAATATTTCCCTATGCCTATCCATTTTTTCGTGCACATCAGAAATTCCAACAGTTTCTCTTGTGGACTTACATGAGAATATTTCCTCAGGTATCTGTGTTCACAACAGCTGTAGAAATGGTGGATGATCATCATCGAACGAATACCTGATATAATGTTGATTTGCAGTTATGCATGTTTAATGTCGAGAATGAATTGAAGAGTCCTTTTGATCCTATCCAGTTCAACTCAATTGTGTTCATGTTGAGGTATAACCACCCCTATGAAACTTGATTTCCATAATTGATTTCAATTTCCTCGATCGATCTGGCCAGTTACCACATTATTGATGGGCTCAAATATCAAAGACTAATTTTAATAATTCTTCCACAAGGAAAACAATGAAGAATTCTCCGTCCAGAACACACCTGTACGATTCAAATGTATTTTCTGAGCAGATATTCTTGATTGGAATGTTCATTGCGGATCCAGGAATATTCCGACAATAACTGAATGTGACACGGAAATACATGAGTTATCCTATGTTATCTGGGATGAAAATGGTTTGTGATTACATTTCCCAATCCTGGATTATTTCACTCTCCTGAAAGAATGTATGAACAATTATAACATGAAAAATAAATAATTAAAACAAAGATTCACTAAACAAATTTTAATAATATTAATGAAGGAGTATCACATATCGATTATTCACTCTAATTTACACACTCATTATATAAATATGAAATAGGTACCTGCCCATATGCGAGTGATGACTTTCATAATCAGTAGGTCAATATTTCGATGTAACAGTCTTCACATCTCCAATTGCAGCTATAACTTCAATTTCCACAGCAGCATTCAGTGGCAGTTTCCCTACTTGGTAAGTGGATCGCGCTGGGAAATCCTTCTTGAAAACTGCAAAAAGTTTGATTCATCAGAATGAATATATCTGTTTTCAAAAAATGTTTAGAGGTCAAAGAAGCTATTAAGAATCAGCGTTTTAGACAGAGCACAGAGGACACAGTGTCGGAGCGGTCTAAAGCGTTCAAACTCTGGACAGTCGATGCCAAAGTCCCACCCTTCACAAGTTTTGACTCCTTGAGGAGTTAGCATCCCACGATGGAATTAGTAGTTGAAAAGAAATTATATTATCTTTCGCTGGTACATGATTGCTATCGAGTTGATATGTTTCCTTGAAAGATTCTCACACTCTCCTTCGTCGTAAATTTTAGCAAATCCACTGACATAACTACTATCGAACTGTTATATGCCATATCACAACAACCCGACATTTTTTCTTCATATTGCTTGCATGAAAACGCTTCTATTCGATATATACATCGAGTCATGTCTCTCAAATATAAGTAAGAGTGAGTGAGATATATAGGAGAGGTCCTGAATGCACACGCTCCTAGAATCAAGTTCGATCTCATAAATGAATGAACTTTGATCTTATGGCATTACCAGTCTAGTTAGTAAATTATGTCTGTGTTAGAAGCTCATTCCAGGAATACGTTCTATCGTGATGATCATTTGATAATTCACTTACATTGTTTGTAGACCTCATTCACAGTTCCAAAATCCTCAATGTCCCTCAACATAATCGTACTTTTGATAACATTAGTGTAAGACGAGCCTGCTGCTTCCAATATATGTCCAATGTTCTTCAATGACTGTTTAGCTTCTGCGGCTGCACCCCCTTCTACCAATTTGTTGGATTTTATGTCCATTCCTAATACCCCAGATAGGTATACCACGTCGTTGAAGACTATAGCTTGACTGCAAAAAATATTCACACCTTATTCAATTCAGAATTCACCATTCAATTTTTGAAGAAAATTCATCGGGTGAAACAGAATAAGGAAGGAGAGAACGCAAGTTTCGAAAATCGAAACAGTGATGAACATTCGTTGTGGCGAAATCAAATTTTGGTAGATATACCTATCAAGAACAAAATCGGTGTGTCTCTATGATAATTGATAGGTAGGTACCAATGCATGGATAGATATTGGAACAAGTGTGAGTAGCATTACTTCAAAAAAATCAACATGTGAAATGAATTCTTAATTTAATATATCTTTATTTTCGTCATGAATGTTTTTATTGATGAACTTTCATGCGTGAATATAAATTGTTGAAATCACGCCGCATACCTACCTTACTATTTCATATTGACCTTTCAATGTATGAATCATTATATTTGACGATCGTTTCTTTTTCAAATTCAACAGAAATACCTATCTTCTTCCAATTAATCGTCACATTTTGATACCACTTGCTCTTGATGATGTTTTACAGCGAAAAAAGCATCATTCCACATATTTCTCAACAGTCAATATAATAATAACCAAATAATCAGCAAAAATTCACTTTCATCGTAAGGGTGTACTTACTGAGATATGCAAAGTACGTAGATAATGTACATGGTATTCGATTAATCAAGCAACAGATCATCAGCTTCTTTGGACAATATGGTTTTTGAAAATACAGAAAGAAAAATGAATGTGTACTTTATTGAACAAGAAGAACTAGAAGAGTATAGGAGAGAGAGATAGGAATGCAGTTGGTAGAAATAGACAGACATAGATGCAGCTACATAGTCTGAATTGAACGCATGGTAAACCTTTGGTATATTCGAAACAAATCCACACCAACTCCAAGTAATAACCTTATCTATTAATCAGGAATAGTCAACAGAGTATGAATAGATATGAACCTTGATTTGTTTTCGTACTTTCGACACCCCATAGATGTTTGGAACTTTTCGCCCTGTATAAAGTTCCTAAGTCAAAAGTTCATCAACTTATAATAATTGGGGTTTTCTTACAAAAAATCCAACGATTCAAAAAATCATTTTACAGTATCACTTCCATTTATTCATCAATATAGGGATAATAATTAGTATAAAATAGTATATTACATAACTAGTGTGGAAAGTGACATATTTCGCGCGAGTGGACGTTTAGCACGAGCCGCAGAACGGCGAGTGCGAAAACGAAACGAGCGCAGAAAATGCACTCTCTAACGAGTTTTGTACACTATTTTTCCTACGACCACAAATATTTATATTATATGTCATGACTGTTTATAAGACCAGAGTAGGGATCATGTTTCTAATCATATTCGATCACATGAAAGTGATATTATTATCATTATTATTTAAATTTAGTTCAATATTCAAATGACATCATTAGTTTTACGTTAACTTAACATTAACTTAACATTAATTCAACATCAACTCAACATTGACTCAACACGAGCTTAGCATCAACTCAACATTAACTCAACATCAACTCAACATTCACTTAACATCAACTTAACATAAATTTAACAGTTACTCAACATTAACTTGAAATTAACTTAACATCAACTCAACATCAACTTAACATTAACTCAATAATTATGCAACATTAACATTAGTTTCGACTTCTGGGGAGTTGGTTCCCAACTTTGAAGTAGCGATATATACATTTTTTTACATTAACTCAACATTAAATCAACATTAACTCAAACTTAACATTACCTTAAAATCAAATTAACATTAACTCAATATCAAATTGACATTAACTCCACATCAAACACTAAGCTGCCAATACATTGACATTAATTCAACTTTCCATCAACTTAACATAACGTCAACATTAACGACAATAACTCATGTTAAGTCGATACTAACTTTCCATTAACTTGACCATTAAACATCAACCTACCATCAGCTCAACATTAATTTAACAATAACTTTACATTAACATTAGCAGCTACAAGCTTACCCGATAGATGTCCCAAGCGCTGTTGTAGACAGCAATTAGGTTATATTAGGCAATCCAACGACCTGTCAAACGAAAAGCAATATGGCGGCTGTTGGCACACATTGTTTATTGCCATATGTGACTGTTGTGATAAAACTGTTTTTCTTGTGATTTCCAATGTGTGTTGGACTTGTTTTTCTGATTATAGACAATCATTATTGCTTCAAATTGAAATATATGCCTTATACTTTCATTATTTTTCAAGATTTGACTCGTTATATCAGTGATACAGGTTATTAGCTCATGATAGTTTATCTGTTGATCATAGTGATATTATAGTGGTGAACTGTTTTATTTTGTGATTTCCTGTACTTGTTAGACTTGTTCCTTGTCTGTTCTGGACCTTGTGCCACAGTTTACAGTTTATGACAAGGTAAAATGCCTCATACATACATTGTAGTAGGATGTATGTGGGTCTTGCCATGACAGGAAAAAAATGGGATTTTACTGGGTCCCAAGATCCTAAATCACAAGTATTTGACCAGTAAAAGTGACTTATTCAGGAAGAGAAGAGAAAAATGGTTATCTGCAATTGAATGAGATGATCTTACTGATTCAAAGATGCAGTACCCATCAGACAGTCTGTAGCAGACATTTCATGAAAGGTGAATCCTTCAAAAGTAGATTTATGCAGGAATCATAGGTTGATAGTCACAAGAACATCAATTATTTCTCACAAAATAGTTATTTTTGTATCTAGAGCGCGAAATGCTACTTTGGTGATCGAGACCTGATTTTTTTAACGAGGCGTAGCCGAGTTAAAAAAATAGTCGAGATGACCAAAGTATTTCGCGCACGAGTTGCAAACAAAATTTTTTCTACAAACGTCAAAAAATATAGTTCTAAAGTAAAAATATGCTAAGCTTGATATAAAAAATAGTGTTGAACTGGCTTCAAAGGCCTCCCCCTGTCCTCCCTAGGTACGCACGATGCTCCACGAACATAATAGTAATTTCCTCTCGTGCGCTCCAAGAGATGAAACAAAGTTATTGTTGAACATTCAGAAATTAATGATTTCGTGAATGTTTGCTCTATTGAGGACCATGAAGTTGAAATATAAATATCTCATATATTTTACATAACAATGCGCGAAGTAGGTACTTCGCGCACTGTTTTACTTCGCGCATTGTTTTGTGCAAGGTATCATGGGGTAACGTAGGAAACTGAAAATAGTGTCACTTCGCAATTTGTTATCAATGCGCGAACCTTGTCATTTTTTGACGTTTGTAGAAAAAGATTATATGTTAATTATGTGTCCACTCTCAACCTGTGATTCCAAGTTGGTGTCTGCTAAACTTCTATAGCTATTATGATTTTTGTGAACATCACTTATATTATTTTCAGGTGAACCTGCTTCATTAGAAGACGAAACTGATCCTGATTCTGGATTCTCTAGCAGAAAATGGGACATTCATCTCAGATATTTCTCAAAAGCAATGAGGATTCACATGGGTTGGACAAAACAAGTTTAAAACTAGCTGAGGTCAGGACCGTCTTTCACCTATCAAAGGCCCTGGGCACATTAGAATAATGGGGCCCCTATGACCATAATGAAATACTATTTTGTTAGAATAGACAAATAACATAGAAATGCAAAGTTTAAGCATTATTTTTATTTCAGATATGATGAATATAGATTATTCACACTAAGTAACCAGCGTCCACGATTAGTCCTTATACTCCTTATATAAGTATCTATGCTGATTGAAGAGGTACTCTTCTAGATTTGAGTTGAGCAAAATCGTTGATAACATTTTCGAAATCTATATTTTCCACCATATCACATTCTATCGACATGCGACTACTACTATTCAATCTCTCTTGGAGCATTGTACTTCTTAATTCACTTTTCATTCGTTTTAATTTGGAGAAGGAGCGTTCCGAACTGCAGTTAGTACCATATATCATGCTCAGAAAGATTCTCAGTGCGATTTCTACATTAGGAAAGGTGTCTTCAATTTTGCTCTCTTTCAGAAGATGATATATTTCCAGTATACTATTAGTTTTTTCATTTTTACTCTGATCAATTTTCAAGTATTCTGTTGAATGCAGACATTCCATTTCTAACTCTTTCTCGTTTACGTCGTCATAGTAGATTTCAGCAAGTTATTTGTCTTCGTCTCCTTTAGTCCCAACTCTTCGGAATTCAGAGTTTTCAAGTGAAAAAACAAACCAAACTTCTATTATTATTTTTTCACTTTTTTTCAAGTGAATTATTATTGCGAAAGGCAATTGAAATGAAAAATTATATTGAAATTTATTACACATGCTGCATTCGGTAAGCCTGATTTTCAGGCGAGTCTAGAGTAGCTATCGGGACTAGGAGGCCCCAATCCTCGCGGGGCCCTGGGCACGTGCCCAGTGTGCCCAGTGGGGAAGAGGGGCCTGGCTGAGGTAAGGTGTGATGCTCTTTGTACAAAAAACTTATATTAATGTGCAAATATATGTTGAAAGATATATTTCCTGTTTAATTGAAGCCTATAATGTTGAAAAATAAGGAATATATTTTGTTCACAGACAAGAAATACAACTGGAATCAACCATGGACGAAGATAGCCATGGACAAGAAACAGGCATTTCATCACAGACCATCATGACTATGAGTAAACTGGCTGTTTCCTGTATTTTTTTCTGATTCTTCATTAAAAAGCATCAACATATTTCATTGAAATGTAAAGTTTACTGGAAAATTATTGTACATGAATTTATGAACACTGTATTGGTATTTTATGTTCCTATTGCACAAAAAATTAAATTGTCTGTCTCTGAATATACTAGATCATTAATCTCAATCTTTGAAGTCATTGGTTTGTAAGTAGAGGGTGTTGAAATAATATTGAAAACATTTTTCTATTCCTACAAATTTATTCAGAATTTAAATTCATAATCACATTTTCAAAAATAGACCATGGATATGTGAATTTAATATTTTCTGACAAACAAAATGAAGCTAAACTCCATCTACAGTAAAAAGAAATGATAGTACTTTACATTCAAAATGATTGTTTTTGATATTCATTAACTCAGAATTACTTTTGGATATAATGTCCTCATGAAAAACATCCAAAATCAAAGCCATAACAATTGTTGATTCTTCAGATAACTTGGTGACAAATGGCTTCACTATTCCCATGATTTGGAGCTCTGTGACCCCATTCAGTTTCTCCAGCATGTCAACCAATTCACTTTCTGATATATGTGGTACTTCTCTAATAATATGCTTGCGTTCAGAAGTCTTTCAAATTCAAAGGGTTTCTCATTTGCTTTCTTTGAATGTTTCATCTAAAAACAAGTATCATCTATTTTAGTAGAAAAATGTATAATAACCTATTACATTCAAATGAAAACATGAATGAATAAACAACAAATAAATACAAAGTAGGTAGCTAAAATGCATATAAATAATACTACAGTATCAGAGAACCTTACCTGTACATCTGAAAAGTTGAAAACCTGAATTCTAATTCCCACATCCACAACAAAGCCAGATTACAAATATGTATATATACTCTTTAGGCCTTCACTGGGGCCTTCATTTGCACTTTGGAATAATAGCTGTCATGAGAGGTGAATATTAATATTTGTAATGGGTGGAACAGCATAAGGTGAACAATTGAAATCACAATGTTTCATTGTGGAAGGATCCAAGTCATTGATAATTCTCAATTCCATTTTATACCTGAATGAAACACAGTGCTCAAAAATGTAAACAAATGATAGGGATGTATTTTCGAACATACCGTTGACCAACGTCTCTGTCTCTTAACAACAATGTCTTCAGAAAATCATTCTTCATCTCAATAAAGTTCTAGCACAGCCCAAAAAACTTCAGAAACAGAAGAAAACGGTAACAAACTATCCAATGTCCACTCAAACAATGCTAACTTTATGCCGCTACCTGTATTGTGTGCCAACAGCCGCCATATTGGGTCACGTGGTTTGGATTGCCTAATATGATTTATTGATTTATTATGATTGACAAAGAAACATGAACCTGATCAAGATGCGGAATGATAAAAATTATAAACTAATGAAAATGAATGTATTTGAATGGACGTATAATAAATACCTATGGTGATTCATTTACCAAGTAAGTACATCATATACCTTCCTAAACCTTGTGTGGTGAGCGTGAGTTTTTTTTATATTTCAACACACGTGAGAATCACTTTCGAACTTTTGCATCACTATGGTGACATGAGCTACTTTCTAAATTACAAAGTGGTGTGTTTTTATGTTGTTTTCATAGGTGGTCGTAGGAAAGCATTATTGTTCATGTTTATGAGAAACAACATTTTAAAAGAAAAAAGGAAAGAACTGAAAAGATTTTATCATTATACATACATTGTCTTCATATTAAGAAAGCGTCATTTTTTCAATATATCGAGGACAAAATTTTAAATTCTGTATTATCGAAATATCGATGAATCGATAGTTATCGATATATCGATAGTTATTGATATATCGATAGTTATTGATGGTTTTCGATATATCGATATATCGATTTATCAAACAAAAATAATCCTTGTGATAAGGATTATTCCACCTGTATGAATGATTTTTACATCAGTTTGCCCAAAACAACACAATGGACAAGTGTGTAGCGTGCCGGCCTAATATGCGGGTTCGAATCCCGTACTACATTTTTTTTCTTCGAAGTGATCAATTGGAGAAAATACTGTGGAGGCATCAACAGACCAGGTTTATTCAATTTTCAAGAATGTTAAGATTGTATAGTTTCAATATAAATATTACAAATTGACTATATGTGATTCCGTTCGAGTTTCTTGTTGAATATAATGATATAATATTTATTCTTGATGACCTTATATATCTCTCCAACTTCTTATGAGTTGAAGTTCAACTTTAGCTCCTAGGAACTAATAGTGTTGCTGAGCAACATACCTATTTTCGTGTCAGTAATAAGAACGTCAACTCCAAGATACAATTTTTGAATTGAATTGGGTGACCTTTGAGTCGGTTGCAGAAAAAATATGTTCATACGGAATGTGTGGGTTTAACCAAGGAAAATGAAAAAAATTTCATTTATTGTCCATGTAGGTACTTGGAAATAATCATATTTGTTTCTATTTATTTCTCAAGTTTTGTACTCAGTTGAACTTCAATAAGTATTTCACAAGTAATACATCTTTTTTTTCAGAAAATTTTCGACTTTGCAATAAGCAATTTAAATTTTTTTTTAAATTGAATGAAAATATTTCAAACCAATTTTTCATGCCAACTATTTTTATTAAGGTTCTGAACATATTCAACTTCATCATGAAGTGATTGGCGCATTTATTTATTCAACATTATCTTGATAACGAAAATTCCATAAACAATGGAAAATATTTCAAAGTAAAAATCAGTTTGATGGTCCTGACAGTGCATTGCATATCGTTCAACCACGATGAAATGGGTTGAGTCATAGACTACAGAAGATAAGTCATTCAGTAATCTTTGGTTGAGTGTAAGAATCTATGGTGTAAGGAAAAAAATTACATTCGTAAAATATGAACTTACTGGGGATTTCATTTGATTATTCATTATCGAAACTGAAGGAGAAAACGAAAGTGTCCTTGATCACCCTATCACTCCTGGTATACCATAATAATTTACAAACTAAGTTCCAATGTACAGTTGTGTCCAGTTTTCGATGCTCTTGCATGATATCTCAGTTACCTTTGGAGATAGAACCTTGCGGTTTTCGCGGTCCTGTGCCACTTTTTTGTGAAACTCAAGATGGCCTAATCAGATTTTGCAGGACTGTTTCCGTTTATGAGATACAGGGCGATTTTGAAAATTTATACTTTTTGGACCCCCTCTTTATCTACGAAGTTTATCAGCGAAAATGTCAAATTAAAATCTTAACCCATACAGAAATTTATGCAGAATCCAGTGGCGCACTATTTTTTTTTTCGGGGTATGGTTTTGAAGATACGACTCAAACTTATGATTTTTCAAATTGAACACCCTGTATTTTATAAGCTCATTAAATTTCTTATTATTTTACCTTCGAAATGATATATGATGTATGAATATAACAATTTTCAAAAACCACTAAAACATTGAATTTCAATAGTGGGCTATGGGTTTTTCGAGGGATTTTCATATAAAGAAATTTACAATTGAAGGAATATCTCCTTTGGTTGTTCCATGAAGGGGGTAATAACAATTTCAACACTGATGAACTCACAAAGCACAAGTCTTAGATACCTGATATCCACAAATATATAGTGATAAAAAGTTTATAATGTAGAATAATCACCTGATTGATTATTTACTGAAACAATTGAATTTCGAAATTACCCAGTAATTTATTCATTGAATTGTTCAAATTGATGTGATTTTTCATCACAAACTTTTTCAATACATATTCATTGAATGATGTCTTTGTAATTCCTTGAAAACTGCCTCTGTTGTTGCACAAAGTTCTACAAGTATGTTGGGCCACTCACTGTATTAATGGACATCAATTTGAACATGTCAATAAAAAAGTTACTGAATAATTCCGAAACTCAATTGTTTTAGTAAATACTTGATCAGGTGCTTATTCTACATTATGAAATTTTTATTACTATTTATTTGTTGCTATCAGGTACCCAAGTTTAGTGTTTTGTTAATTAATCAGTGTTGATATTGGTTTTGACCTCTCCATGGAGAAATTTGAAGAAATATTTCTTCAATTGGAACGTTTTTTATAAGAGAAATCCATAGCCAACTATCAAAATTCAATATTTTAGTGATTTTGGGCAATTTTGAAAATTTTATATTCATTCATCATATATCATTTTGAAGGCAAAAAAATAAGGAATTCAATGAGCTTATGAAATACAGGGTGTTCCATTTAGAAAATCATAAGTTTGACTCGTATCTCCAAAACCATACCCCGAAAAAAAAAAAAAGTGCGCCACTGGATTCTGCGTAAAATTTTTTATGCGATAAGATTTTGATTTGACATTTTTGTTGAGAAACTTCGTAGAAATAGAGAGGGTCCAAAAAGTATAAATTTTCAAAATCGCCCTGTATCTCATAAACGGAAACAGTCTTGCAAAATCTGATTAGGCCATCTTGAGTTTCACAAAAAAGTGGCACAGGACCGCGAAAACCGCAAGGTTCTATCTCCAAAGGTAACTGAGATATCATGCAAAAGCATCGAAAACTGGACACACTGTACACTCAAACCTTCGGTTCTCAATGAATACTGAAGTGATGTTTTAGGAACGAAACAAATTCAAATCAATTTTTTAGTTAGCATTCAATAACTCACTTATACGGTGCTCCTCCAACAGGTGCTGGAGATTTCAATGAAGTGATCACTTTTCTCAATAGGGATGCCATATTATCTGAGCCCTTTTTCAATCCTTATACTTTCCCGATAATAACATGGAATCAATATTAAAACGATATTACTTATTGAATATTCAAGAAAACAAAATCATCCGATTAAATCATCATTTGATCATTTGATAACCGCGATGACCTAGACCTAGAATAACTTGCCAGAGTCCATTAAATATTCTGTTTTATTTTGTGATGCATGCCTATAAACATACATACAGGCGTCACGCGTCAAGCCGTTTGTGGGGACGCCAGCAGTTATAGACTATGGGGACGTCGTCCATTCAGTTTTTCTATACCCACCGGATTTCTCATGATTGCTTTCGAAAAATTTTCGTGAGGATCTAGTAAATCGGCAGAAGTACACAGTTCTTTTGAGAACTACTTTTTAATGATGACAAGTATAATATATTTATTGTGACACTTAATTACATCATTGATTCTAATAAGTCAAAAACTGACAAAACAATTCCTAATCACAGGATGTTATTTAGAGCAGGAGTGAACTGATTATTTCACAATCCAACACTCCCCCTCACGAACTGCTCAACTGAAGTCCAAGACCTCTGGATAAAATGGTGTGACGATTTCCATTGACTGATTTTGTCAATATATCAGCAATCATATCGTCGGTCTTTTTGTAGGCAATTTCAATTTCTCCTCTTCTTACAAGGTCTCTGATGAAGTGTTCTTTAATAGAGATATGCTTCGACTTTGAGTTTATCATGGGGTTAGAAAGCAATTTTTGCGCTGCTTGATTGTCATTGTAGATCAAAATTTTGTCTTGAGTGTATCTCATATCATTGATCAAATTTTTCAAATGTATGGCTTCTTTTGATGCTTCTGTGAGCGACATATACCTACTCCGCTTCAGCCGTTGATAATGCAACAGTTCGCTGCTCACGTGATTCCCAACTGACAGATGCGTTGGCAAAGATAAAACAATAGCCAGTGTAAGATCTTCTGTCAATTGTACAAGATCCCCAATCAGCATCTGCATATCCTGTTATTTCTCTTCCTGTTTTTTTGAATTCAAGTTTTACATTTTTAGTTCCTTGTAAATACCGCAGAACACGTTTAGCTGCAACCCAATGTTCTTGATCATAACAGTTGTTGAATTGGCTAAGGTAACTTATTGCATAAGATACGTCTGGTCGAGTTGCAACTGATAGATACATAAGTGATCCAATCAAATTCTGGTACGGCACATTAGGCATTTTTTCTGGATTTCCTTTTTCTAATTTCAAATTTTCTTCCATGGGGCTTTTTATGCTTTTACAGTCCTGCATTTCAAATTTATTTAATAAATCTGTGATATATTTTTGTTGATATATTGTAATGTAAATATATCAAGAATTCATTCAATAAATCTGTGATATATTTTTGTTGATTTATTGTAATGATCCCATTTTTTTGTTCGAATTCCATTCCCAAGCAGTAATGTAAAGTGCCTAAATCTCGCATGTCGAAACTGTTCATGATTTTTTGTTTTATTTGCATTAATACTGTATCGCATGATGTGGCTATGATCAGATCATCCACATATACTGCAAATGGCTTGCTTGCTTTTGTTATACTGATTTCTATTTCTTCCATAATATTTACCTTCGTTGCTGCTGCTACCTGGATGACTTTTGGTTCTTGTTTCACTTTCTTCTAAAATTTTTATTTTTAAGTTTTCTGGAGAGGGTAACTCATCACGGGACTCTATTGCAATCCGGAAATTCTCGAACGATTGTGGAAGAGAGTAGAGCATCATGATACTCAGTAGATCATTATTTATTTTGATATCCATTTCAGATAGCTTGTCCACTGTATCAGAAAATGTGTTTAAATGCTCTCTCACATTATCGTTTTCTTTCATTTTATGTAATATTAGGTGTTTCAGTAGTGTAGCCTTTCGAGTAGGACCTTTACTTTGGTAAATTTTTTGTAAACTGTACCATATGTCTTTGGACGTGAGGCAGTTTTTGATTTGTTTCAACTCACTAGGTGAAATGATCAGTATAAGTTTTGCATTCAGATCACCTTTTTGTTAGGTATTTTATTCAATATCATCGACAACATCCCGTATTTTGGTATTTTGAGAGCGGATGTCACTTTTGAAATATAATTAATTAATTCGGTTGTCAATCATCGAGAGGGTGAATCTGTGCGTGAGAGGGATATTTTATGTATTTTGGTCAGATTAATAAATACTGCCGTCGTTAAAAGGGGTATTTACTATCACAGCTCTGCGAAAAACCTATTTTACAGCTATATGATCCAAATGCCGATGTGACAGAACTTCACGCAGATGCAAGTGCAGCCGGATTAGCAGGTATTTTGCTGCAAGGTAGTATAGATAAACTACATGCAGTTTATTACGTATCTAAAAAAACAAGTGACGTCGAGTCTAAATATCATTCATCGAAGCTTGAATTGATGGCTATAGCGTGGTGTGTAAACAAGTTACGTAATTATCTGATTGGATTGAAATTCACCTTGTACACCGATTGCCAAGCTATAGTTTACATGAATTTACAGAAAAATCAGAGTAGCCAGGTTGCTAGGTGGTTTTATACATTGCAGGAATTTGATTTCGACATTAAATTCAGGAAGGGGCTGCGAATGGGTCATGTCGATGCTTTGTCGAGAGCTCCAGTATTAGTTGCATCCGATACTCAAAATGATCTGGATGAAATTCATGATATTTTCACGATTACTGTTGAAGACGAAGTCACTACGTTTCAAAATGCAGATGAAAATATAAGAAGATTGAAAAGAATTTTGGCTATAGAAGAAGACAACAGAAGTATTGAACAGAGGAACGAAGTAAAAGGATATTCTTTAATTGAGGGTAGATTAGTTAAAGAAATAAAAATGGATGGAGGCAATAAGTATATTTTCGTGATTCCGAAAAGCATGAGGAAAAGCATAGTGGTGCAATATCACGATATGGATGGACACTTTGGACTAGATCGTGTATTGAAACGTATTCAGAAAATATACTGGTTTCCAAAAATGAGGAAATATATCAAGAATCACATAAGAGCATGTTTTCCATGTATAGAGAATAAGATAGCAGCAGGAAGGCAGCCAGGGGAACTGCATCCAATATCTCCTCCAAAGAGACCATTTGAAAGGATTCATGCCGATCATCTAGGTCCTTTCGTGAAATCGAAAAGAGGTAATTGTTATGTTTTGTTGATTGTATGCGCATTAACAAAATATGTCAAGTTGTATGCTGTGAAAGATACATCAACAAGAATCAACATCAAAAAGTTTGAGAACTTCTTCGGATTGTTTGGAATTCCGAAATTGTTGGTTACAGATCGAGGAACCTGTTTCACTTCGAAAGATTTTGGTGAATTTTGTAGAGGTCTGAATATTCACCATACGCTCAATTCTAGTCGTTGGCCTCAAGCAAACGGGCAGGTAGAAAGAGTTAATCGGACTCTTTTGTCTGCAATGGCTACTACTGTAGAAAGTGAAGACAAATGGGACAATATTTTGGATAAAACAGAGAAGAGCCTGAACACGTTCCATAATAAAAGGATTGGAAAAAGTCCATTCGAAGTACTCCATGGTTATCTACCTAGTTTTGGAAAAGATAAATTGGCAGCAAGAGTAGCAGAAATAGAGTGGACCCCAGCTGAAGAAATACAAACGGAAATAAGAGAAAGAATTGTTGAAGAACAGAAAAAGTACAAGGATCGGTACGACAAAAAGCGATTCATTGGATTGAATTATGATGTCGGAGAAGTAGTATTCGTTCGGGGTACAAAAACAATACCGGGTGAATCGAATAAGTTGAAACCAAAGTATAAAGGACCATATAGAGTTATAGAAATATTACCCAGTGATACGTATCGTTTACATAGCCTGGACTCTGGTCGAAAGTTCGTTACCACTGCACACGTTTCACAATTGAAATCATATGCAAATCATGAAGAATCAGAAGATGAGGAAAGTACAGGAAGAGAAGATGAGTTTCGACAAGAAGAGAACGGAGGTATAGAAGAAAATGAAGACTATCACGCTGTAGTTAGCGAAGACGAGCCACTACAGGTAAGAAGAGAAAGTAAACAAGAACAAGAGGAAAATGAAGAAGACAAGTGTAGTGAAGTTGATGTGCGGGCCAAAGGAAGGCCCAAGCGTGTTACTAAATTGCCAAATCGTTTACTTGATTTTGTATTGGAATGATTTGACGAATTTTAGATTATAGTTAAACCGGCCTGCGTGCTGAGAATTGTGCTATTTTATTGGCACTGTTAGTTATAGTTGTAGTTGTTAGAATCAATCTGCGAATTGATTTATTTTTTTATGATGAATGAGAGATGGATGAATGAGAGATGGATGAGTGAGGACACTCATAGTGTCAGAAAGGGCCGAGTGTTAGGTATTTTATTCAATATCATCGACAACATCCCGTATTTTGGTATTTTGAGAGCGGATGTCACTTTTGAAATATAATTAATTAATTCGGTTGTCAATCATCGAGAGGGTGAATCTGTGCGTGAGAGGGATATTTTATGTATTTTGGTCAGATTAATAAATACTGCCGTCGTTAAAAGGGGTATTTACTATCATTTTTCCCACTCATCACTAGCATCATCATTAGGTCTTTTATTTCTACCTGAAACATAGTCCCATAATCCAGCTCGTGTTAATACTGCTTGCGCCTGTAGTTTCCAGGTATCGTAGTTGTCACTTCTTAGTGGCTCTATTCTATAACTTGTTTGCTAGTAAATCGGCAGAAGTACACAGTTCTTTTGAGAACTACTTTTTAATGATGACAAGTATAATATATTTATTGTGACACTTAATTACATCATTGATTCTAATAAGTCAAAAACTGACAAAACAATTCATCACAGGATGTTATTTAGAGCAGGAGTGAACTGATTATTTCACAATCCAACAGAGGACGTCCCCACAATGTACTTTTTTCTACAGGGTGTTGCAAAATTCGACCAACGCTTGAGATGTGATAGCCTTCGTGATTTCATAATCACTAAGATAGGGACATACGGTCTTCAAGTGTTCAGTTCTCGAGGTAC